AAATTTGATGGAGTACCTCAAAGTTTGATGCGAAAACGCATGATCGCACCGGCTCGCCTGGTGCGTCCCACCCTGGGTTCTATCTATTTTCGGTTAAAAGCAGACGTAAAATTAGAGATATTAATCGTGACATATATTCTGAAGAAAAGTGTAAAATATAAAGAAATATAAAAAAAATATATACTTATAAAATTATATTAAAAGGCTGGATGTCCCGTACTTCCGTACTATGGTGCATCACAGATTGCAATGGAAAATATTACAGTGAGATCATCAAAAGCAATTGTCATTGTCGTTGTTGCACCAGTATTAAATACTGCCTTACATAAGTCTGCTTACGTTGCCTGTTGCCAAATAGTTCAGGCAGCAAGCCCACCAGGTTTCCGACAAATGCATTTTTGCACTATATATGAAGTAGTCAAATGGTTAACAGTAATGAGTGCTGCTACAGTGTTTAACATGTGCGCTCGTTTTGGCAATGGCTTTTTATTTCCCCGCACAAGAGGAAAACAGTGTTAACTGGAGCGAAAATATTGCATCGTGGAGTTGCGCGAAATCTTAACGACTACGTTCTTGTTGAGACGACGCACTCTCAAATTTGCCACATCAACATGTGGAACTTTAGCACTTAAAAAAAGCTGATTTTAAGCTTTCAGTAATGCATAAGACACTCCATCTTTCATATAAAATTTCTGCTTTTATCAGTATCTGACCATCAAGAGAGAAGGATGAAAAAGCATCACAGTTTAAATATTTAACGCGTCCGTGTATGACGACACATACAAAGGCAAAAGCTAGTTTTATACTTAAAGATTTTCACACGGATAGTAAACATTTCCATTAAATTTCAATTACAATTTTACAAACTCAAATTCACTCCGCGGGCAAGCCTATGTTTCACATACCAACACGTAAAAATTTTGCTGAGAAATTTCACAACTTAGGAACTGAACAGCATATTGACTGTTTTCGCACACACCAAAGAGCGAAGTAGTGAAAGTTTTTAACAGCAAATGCCTGCTGGTACAGAATTATTCAGAACGCCTGGTCGCTCTCCGTCATCCTAGTGTGCGCCGCTGTTTAAAAATTACAGTTTTGGAGAGCGGTTTTGCAGTGTTTTTATGCGCCTTTGCATGTATGCAAATGCATAAGCGCCTGCTGTGACGAGACACGGTGTGCGCATGTGTGTATGCCCGTGCGTGCATATACATAGATATGTGCGTCTATCCGAATATTTCGACTCGGTACCAAGCAAGCTTTGACGCTGAAATTTTGCTAATAAGTCCCTGGCCTACCGCCGTCCTAGTGACACGGTACCAGCTTTCTTATATATCTGAACTCGCACGCGGTAAAGCGAGAAACGAGATAATTTGGAAAGTTGGAATTTTTAGTTGATATTCCCTGTCCATGTACAACTTAAAGATTTCAAACTCAGCTAGCAAAAGTGCTTCTGACAAACAGGTGCGTAAAATTTTTGACGGAAGAATTGCTAGCCCGAGAGCTAGAATAGCTAGATCATTTTCGATGAACACCGCTCAATGGAAATCATTCATTTTCTGTTATGCATGATTTATGGTAACTTATGGCGATGAAAGCGCAAGTTAAGTGTAAAGCAGCAACCAGTCATACAGTTAACGAACTGGTTGCTTCAAGTTTAGCGCAAAAACGCATGACCGCACCGGCAAGCTTGCTGTGTTGCATTTTGGGTTTTAAGTTGCCATTCGGCAGTTAGTACTGTCCAGTAAGTTATAAATTAGCCAAGACAAACACATTTTCCTGGTCCCAAACATATTAGCAATCCAGGATTTAATAATTCGGGCATCGCTTGTTTTCTTTTTCAGGCCATCTTGTTTATTTCTTGCATCATGTTACCGCATCTTCTCATTTATCTCACAAGAGCTGTTCGCAATAAGAACTGTATCATTTGCGAAGAGTAATAATTATTATAGCTGCTTGCCTTTGGTGTCAAGATTGTTTTTTCAATGCAGCTTCAGAAGAAATACAGCTCAGTTAAAACACATTTTAATAATAAACGATTTTATTTTGAAAAATTTGCTAAAACAATAAGACAATGGGTGCACTGAAAGACAAATATGTGTGGCAGAGGAATGACGCATGTCCATGATTGTTGCTGTTTTTTTAGAAAGCTCTTGGGCGGGGGGCGGAGGGGGGATAAAAAACCAGAAGGTAAAAAGATCTCAGTGTTGTTTTTCGTAATTTCGTTTATTATGAAATTATCAGGTTGATCGAGACTACTCAGTCAGTCAATATGGGGTTTCGGCACTGGTGACGATACGGTACCCCTATCAAAACTGCCCTAATTCCTTCTGCCCCTCCCCGCCCCACGCCCCGTGCTTTCCCACCTACATATAGGAATTACATTACTTCGCAATTATGGGCAGCTAATTTTACTAGAAAGTACGATTATCAGATGATTCTTTGAAAAAAAGACAGAAGTCACGAGACAAAATCTTATTTCCCTCATAAGCATTTTTAAGGGGCAAATTTTATTTCCCTCATTATAAAGAGTCAAATCTTGCCTTCTCCACTGTAAAGGGTCAAACGTTCTTCTCTAATAGGAAATTTTAAACTTTATCTGTCTCATAGACACTGTTTAACCTGTGGGACCAATTTAATTTCAATAACGATGGGTTCCATCAGTTGCAGCCAGGAAATGCGCCACTAAATGATTACAGAGATCTTGAAATTTGAGTAATACGATTCAATAGCATAGTCAGAAAAAACATGAAAACGGATATTCTCGCTCCTGAAAAAAGATTGGCCTGCTCAATCTTAATCTTTTTTAAATGAACAGCTTTTTAATTTTTTCGATTTTTTTCCTATTTTGTGTTGTCGCATTATTAACTGTATAAATGATGCAAAAAGATGGCGGGCATGGCACAGTGGGAAGATTGTTGGGCACTAAGTCGGAAGTCTGACTCCGCCAGTTAAACAACTAATCTCTGTATGACTCATTCATTCGTTTCGATGGTAAACTGGTACTGGTGCATGCCAAGAAGTAAAAACCATCACAGACTTGTCTGTAAGGAACATTCGAAAGAGAGCAAAGCTCTCATATGGTAGTTGCTTTTGGCATTTGCTACCATTCCGGCTACTTTTCGAATACCCTTGCCTCTCGTGCAGATTAGATAAGGAGGGTTCTTGATTTTAATTTTGCAAAAAATCTTTCATTTTGCTTTTGAAAAACCGATAAAATTTTTTAAGTGGAAACTCAGGTGAAGCTCTTTTGCTTTCAGTGAAATTCTGGCTAAGCCACATAAAAAGTGTATGTGACTTGATCGCTCAGACAAATGGTTCTGTCTTTTTTCTTTAAAAATTTTTTTCGTCGTTTTTAAAGAGACAAACTTGTCAAAAGTGCTACATTTTTGAAGCCAAATCAAAATAATTTGTGGAAATTTTGAAGGCTCAAGAAAAATTATAAAAAAAATTTCGAACCGGTTATTATTTTTTTGCGTCAATGACTTACATTGTATTAGGTTGGTATTTTTTTCATTTTTTTAAAATAATCAACCCTAGCAGTTTGCGTTGGTTAGACAGTAATTTATGCAAAAAATCTCAAAAAAATTACGTCTTTTACGAATTTTGTAAAAAAGCGATTAAACTTTGATTGAAACTTTTTGAAAAGGTTTTTAAAAAAATTACGCCTTGTTCGAAACTTTTCAAAAGAATTGAAAAACCGGTTTTAGTTTCCAAATTAGGTTTGTCGAAAAATGTTTATACAAACTCCCCCATTCCAGATAAACAAAATTTTCCTGAAGTGGGAAAAGAATACTATAATTAAATAGTTGAAAATAATTAACAGTCTGATTTGTCTGGGGAGGGTCATTTCAATTCCGAAATTTACGCGGCTAATTAAAATTTAAGCCTGTAATTTTGAAAAATTCAGTTAATTGGTAATCAAAGAATACAGGATGCGCTTCGAAGCTACTGCTGCCTCTGCTTCTGACGGGAGCGTTGCGATCGGGAAGGTGCTACGGTTGAAGCTGTTAGTGCTGTTGTTAGCCGATTTGGTGCTGCCAATGCTCGTGCGCGAGTTCGAGCCTGCAATATGGTAAGGTATACATATTATTGCCTAAATACTGTTAATTGGCCTAACCACAGCGCCGCTCAAGAATGAATTAGCACGACTTCTACAGTCTGAGGGATTCAGAACTGAGTGGGAGTTGAGACACGTGAGGATTCTAGGCCTGTTGCCTTGTGACCATATAAACAATCGGACTCTTCGTTACATAAGCAGTATACAAGCCTTAATCATGCGATAAAGTAAAATCCAATGAGTAGGGCATGTTACTCGTTCGCCAATAACTGCATTGATGAGCGCTACCTACAAGAAAGGAGACCACTATGTGGTGACCCGCAAAGAAGCAGTGTACATAAGTCAAACAGACGGTGGGTACCAACAGGACGTATGCAACAAAGAATCGAAGGGCCTGACATAGTAGCGCTCTACGTCTGGCAACATCCGAGTAAAATTACTGGTAGGGGGAACCCGTACTAATAACTTGGATGGTGTCGGTATTATCGGTATTAAAAGTGCTCTTTCAATATATTTCCAAAAAAAGAATTAAATTGCTAAAACAACTCTGACCTGTGCTGGCCTTGGACAAGAAGCGCTTTTGAGTGTTTCGCAGAAGCCGCATGATTGTCTACAATTTTCTTGCATAAATTGATCCGAATTACCATGGCACTGACCATCGGTGCTCCACTGCGCACACGATACATGGCGATCGCTACATTCTGTAAAAATTCTTTCATTAAAAGCAAAAATAAAACTTCCGAAAGGGAAGCATCTTGTAACGACGACCAAAGTTTATTAGTGAATTGACTATGCATTCTATGATCTCCCCTTCCTGAGTTACCGCGATGCAAGCACACCTTGAGCATTTCTTTGTCCCATCGCTCGGCTCGGAACCAACATTCAGCATTTTACCGATTAATTGTCTGTTCGGGCATCGTGTTCTTGCATAGCATTACCCACTGATAGATTTGTTAAACCAGAAAAAAAATAAACAGCTGAGGTTCGATCATTCATTTTGCTCAGTTTTACCTGTGAATTTTATCTTGGTACTTAAGAATCCCCACCTAGGATTTCACTTATCCGTATAAGAGGCCTTGGCTTGTGTGGAAATTGAATTTGCATTTCCAGAGTCCACTGACAGAAAATATACTCCTGAACAATCACGCTTCTAGCTTTTCTGGTTCTGATTGGGAAAAATTTCCAGCTAGAACTTTCATTTATCTGTGTGTAAAATCTACGCGTATGAGTAAATTGAATTTGAATTTCCAAAGTAACCCACTAACAGGAAAAATTTTTCTGGAATTTCAACTTCCTATCTTGAGCATTTTCTGAGTTGAAGATTTCCAACCAAAATCTTCACGTTTCCGTACGTGAGACTTAGGCTTATGTGGAAGCTGAATTTGAAACTCAAGAATCGTAAATTAACAGAAAACATCCTCCTAAAGTTTTGACTTCCTTGTTTTTTCGATTACTAAGTTGAAAACTCCAAGCAAAGTTAGAACATACACACACAAAAGGTCTCGACAATATGCTTTTAGACAAAACCAACCACTGAAAATAAATATAATTAAAATTTACCATTACTAGCATTGTAAGCAGGGGTGCAAACGTGGCAGGCAGCACGGCAGTACTGTCGCATATAGTTCCCATTACGACGGCATTCGCCTTCGCGAGCCCAAAATTCACAGCAGGGATTTCGATTAAAGCAATCCACAAATCGGCGCCTTGTTTGAGCTCGCGTAATTTGAGCTTGCTGTGCTCGGGGAAGTTGCGTTCGTGGCACAAATGGCTAAAATTGGAAAGATTTTAAACGCCAGAAAAATGTTTTAGGCGTAATGCATGTTGTAATTTGCCTCGTCTTCTGCGCCTTCTCAATTCGACTCGCAACTATCGTGCTGACGAAGTCTAGTCGTGGTGGCGAGCCAAAAAATTTTCATGATTTAAGGGCCTTTTCGATGATCATACAACAATTCAGTTTTGCAGTACCAGTATTTTTTAAAAAAAGCATTTTTTTTTTCAAAAAATCAGCTTACGGCAGGTGTTGGCCCTGGAACACATCTTCCCATCATGCAAACCCCGTTGAAGCATGCATCGAGACCTTCGAAACCAATACACAAACCGTTTAGCTTAATTTTGGAAACACAATGCGGCACACCACGATTGTCACAGAACAGATACGGTGATCCGCATGTTGGCATTTCGGCTGAGCATCCAGGTCGTGGCGAAAAGCGGTACATCTGATCAGTGTACATATTTGACAATCCTGAATAATGTACACGATTTTCATCTTAATAAAGCTGGGCTATATAACCCTCTGGAATGTTGACATTCCAGGAGACAAGATATTAGTGGCCCGTATTCGGTCTACTGCTAAATAAAAATTAACTATGTAATTAATGGAATTATTGAAACAGCAGAAGGTTTGTTACATTTCTATTTCTAGTTTCTGCATTGTTCCAGGGTTGTCGAAAACACAACCGACAAAAAGAAGGAAAGACACAGAGAAGAACAATGTAAATTCAGGAAGTGGATTTATGTTGCTCTTTTCTAATTCTTTAAATTGGTCCCTTATGTCTGGTCGTAATTATAACAAACATGTTATATTCTACACGTATAAAACGCACAAATTACGTGCAGAATTTCTATATAGCACATGTAAAAAAATTTATATGCACAAAGATTTAATTTACAAATTGCAAAAATTGCGCTGTGAGTGAAATAATACGGTCACAAGTTACGAGCTAAACAAGCTTACCATCACGATTGATAAGATTGAAAAATGGTCGCATTACGGCGTAGCTGAAATGCTGCGGATCCGCGCACTGTGGTATATCCGGCGGATAGGCCTGAAAACTCATTTCTAAATTTGTTTCTTTTTTTGATTAATAATTATGACTGCTGTGCCCGAATGATGATTTGTAGATAACAAAGGTGCTGATAAGCATCATTTTGGGCCTGGAAGGCCACTGCAATCAAATCACCGCTGCAGACATTGAAAAAATAGCAGTAAGACATGCTGAATATTAGACGCAAACTGAAAATCTTAAAAAACTGGTATGTCTTTATGATTTTGTACATGACTGCTAGTTATTTTTATTTGTTTACCAAGAATACCAAGATCGTCCGGGTTATCAGTGCGGGTATTTAATGTTTGTGGCGTTACTGAAGTACTTTCACACGCTCGGTACAGCTCTACTCTACTGAGTGCCAGTTGGTACCACTTCCCGCGTTGCGTGTTTTAAAAGTATCATAGATTTTTTACGAGCAAAACTCACGACTTCCCTAGCCCATCTGGACTGAGCATTTTGTCGCCACAGCTCCCAAATAAAATCGACAAATGAGTGATGAGAGAAAAATATGGGATCGTTAGATGCTTGTTCCGGTGGCTTCATATGGCCACCAACCCAGAGATGCACGTTCGAGTGCGAGTATTCCAGAGCACCAAAGTTGATCGGATATGGACAGCCTGAAATTTTCATTATGAACAAAAATATGCTGCAATCCAAGGAGTCTATTATGTGCTTTATTTTTCTATCCAATCGAGGAAATTGCCTGCGAGTATAGCATATTCGAAAGTTCTTGTCGTGCTGTTGGTCGAGAGTTCGATTCCGCCAATTAGGCATTCGTTCTTTCGTTTTGATGGTAAATTGACACTGGCATATGCGAAGGAATCAGACTAACAATCGGCTTGCTGGTAAGCAACTTTTAAAATGCGGACCACCGGCTGTCGTTTGCATTTGCTATCACTTGGACTATGCCCCATGTGTTTTCGTTTTTTATAGAGAATCAATACGAAGGAGTTTTTACTATCGAGTCATAAAGATTATCCACTTTTCACCACTTTTTTTACAAATTAACTAAACTTTTCTGATTTTTTCGGAAAAAAAGTCGCACTAACCCATCAGTGGTGCGGTGTATGCAAGAACATTTTCTATAGCATTCTGCTGCATCACCTGACCAATACTAAATTCAGAAAAGAGAGCTCCTTCTGCTCCTAGATTTCTGAAAATCATCAACAACTGATCAAAATGCTTCCGATTTCCGCATGAAATGCGGTATTTTATATACATTCCGGTGCACTTGCACACACGTAGAACTGAGGAACTTGGTCCAGCTGTGTGAATTGTTTCTGAAAAAAAAAACATCAGTGTACTCGTATTAAAAATAGAATTCCTGAAAGCGTTTTCTGATGCGCCACCGAATGTCCTTTCCTAAATTCTGAAAAACCTATCAGTCGTAGTATCATCTATTGTTCACAAGCAAACAGAATCTGCTGTGACAAGTGGCTAACAGCTATGAATTACTCACCGGACGATAGCATTTCGTCCATCGAGCGTGCTCCAGTAAGCAAATGGGCCGTTGACAACATTCCCCATGAAATCGGTTTCGCCCATAAAAAATGGACTGAAGAAAATGGAGTCACGTGGATCCGGCAAATAATTATCCATGACAGAGTCCCAGTATGGTACTGCCACCGACGGATCAATCAAACGAAGCGCTATTTCAAATCTGCAAGAAAAAGCTTCAGAAAGCCCAACATAGTTTTCGAAACTGTCGTTTTGAGCACCACTTGCTAATAGTCTGCTGGTTTTTAAAACCAAATGCACAGTTTTGAAAAAAAAGCGACAACCCTAACATTGCCTTTACAGCTCAGAAATCTGTCATCGAAGTTGTTCAGCACCTTTTGATATATTCTCTGTGCCATGGCAGGAAACCTGGTCCAGAGTGTGCGCCACTTCCTGATCCAACCTAAAAAATAAAAAAAGAAAATAAATTTTTATGGAAAAATCATTAGAAACTTTGAGCAAAATCATATTCTTGTAGTAGCTGGCCGAAATTTTTCTCGAATTGAAGCTGCTATTATATATATTACATGGTTCAGTAAGCATTTTAGTAGTATTTTAAATGGTAACCAAATTGAGCTTTTCTGATAAGAAATTAAAATAATGTAGTAAATACAAAATGTTTTAGACTATAAAAAAGTCAAAATCTTCCCGTATTCGCTTTAGTGAAAGGCGGAAATACTCAGGAAGTATTCTATTAATATATGCCAACAGCAGACACCATCTTTTACAGGAAGGCTGCACTGATAATTTCCACTTTAATCCGCACGCTGCGTCTCTGTTTACAGCTAAGAGACCGAATTCAAACTGTTTCCTAACACGTCTTTCTTGCTCTTGATATTTAAAATTTCTTATTTCCGATTCTAATATTGCACACAGGCAAGCCAATGGCGAGTTTGACTCTCTGAACACGGCAACATTGATTTAACACAGATCATAGATGAGTTGGTTGTCCCACAGATGAACACGAATCCTTGGCCTACTGCACGACAACAGTGCTATTTCCCATGATGCAACATTCGTCAGCTATGAAAAAGAACTGATGTGAAATACTGAAATGGACATCTATTTTCATTTTCTGGCTTTAATAGCACCTTCTTCTCTAACCTAACAAAAAATGGCACTTAACCGACAAATGTTCGAATCCAATGCGATCATATTCTCCACTTCGTTTCAGCATCGTAAGCGCATTGTGGTAGCGTAGTCTCTCATCCTCTGTGAGCATTCGATACTCTTTTCGATAAGCCATCGTCAAAATCTGTCCGTTTTGCAGCACACACTGATTTTGTGGATCGAGACCACCCTATGCAAGAAGAAACATTTTTTAAGAAACTTCTTTTTCTCATAAATAACATTTAGAGAATTTCAAAATTCACAAAAATTTATAAAATTCGGTTTCTGTTTTTTTCAAATAGATTTTGGAGGAAAAACAGCATTTTGAACAACTATCAAAAATACCGAAACTACGTCAGTGCCAGTATTTGTGTCAGTGATGCTATTTTGGGGAAAATATGAAATCAGAAGAAAAAAACGATATGCGTTACAGCAGGCAGTCTTGGTAATGTTGAGAATTCATCAGATGAACGACGTTAGGGCGTCCGCTGCGAATGTGCGAGAAGGCAAAATCCAAAAATGGGTACAAAATGTCGATTCGCGTCACGTGTCAGCAAGTGGCACCAGCTCTAGGAGCAACCTCTGGTGACATTCCAAAATGTGGCAAGCATAGAACAAACGGGCGACAGGTAGAAATTAGAGGTATGCAACTCAGGATCAAAGGACTTGGCATGCCACTCTCGATGCGTGCCTCGGTGACATCACTAAACAAAAATCCCAGTTAAAAACCCGGTAGCATTACTAAAATAGAGGGCCCTCATGTCGACAGCCTAGGAGGTTTTTAGCAATATTGGTAATCTCGGAAAAAGATAGACAGTATGAGATACTGAAAAAAAGCATCGTGCTCAAAAGCTTGCGGATTATTTCTTTGCTGTTTGAAGTTTTTGCGAGTGAACCCATTCAGCCGATGCTAATAAAGTCAATAATTTTGAGAAATTTAAAAACTACCCGAAAATACGGGCAAAGACAAGCGGTGGTCATGCAGTCGTACGGATGACTGGCCACTTGTCCACGAGAGCCCGGCGTTATTGGTCCAGGCCTTAGATGTGGCGGAATTCCGGGTGGATGAATAGTGACATTGCTTTGTATTGCAGAATTGCGCCTCGAATTCGTCGCCATTCTTTGTAGCTGAAAAAAAATGCTTTTTTCCATAATGCTAATTCCATTAATAGTACCTGATTTTATGTTCCATTAAAATTTGAAATCAGTATTTGAATTTGGAAAAACTTTTATCAAAATTTCCAGAAACTCAAAAAGTTTTTGTTTAAGAATTTAAGAACATCTTTTAAATGTATGCTGCCTTTCCCAAAAAATGTGTTTTCTATTTATTACTGAAATGGCTGAAACAAAAAAAAAGCAACATCGAAGTCGAACCCATTCCGTAATAAAACTCTTTAAGGGACAGAAGCACTCGGGAAGTAGTCTGAGTGGTACCACAAGCCAAAAGCAGCCATTCGCTAGCAAGACTGTTAATGGCTTCCTCTTTCGAGGATTGCTTGCAGGCAAGTTGATGTTGGGTTTCACTATCTAACGTATACCAATTCCAATTTACCACCGAAATGAAAGAACAAAACGTAAAGAGCCTGGTTGCTCCAGGGGCGAAAAGAGCAATGAACTTATAATTTTGATAAAGTAAGCCATACAGTGAGACATGTTTGTCGTAATGCAGCTGTTGGTGCTTCATTGCAGTTCTGGCTAAACTGGTTCGACTGTCTTACTTGAGCTTGGCTAAAAATTGGCCTGGCCAGGAATAGTATTGACAAAAGCGGCAGTGAACGCCACATAGTAGCTTCCTGAAAGTTCAGGCCCTTTAGGAGTGATTTGAGATTTGCCCGATGTGCCAAACGCAAAATTCAGAATTGAATTTACAAGGTCCAGGAGTCAGTTCTCTGTTTTCGTTATTGCTTGATCTAAAAAAACAAAATGTGGCAGACGAGGGCACTCGGAGACAGTCCAATTTCCAATAGCAACCATCGGGAGGCAAGGCTGTTGGTGGCTACGTCTTTTGAAGGCTGCTTAGAAGTAGGCTGATGGCAGATTTGACACATTGGCATTTGCCAGTGCTTTCTGTTCTATTTGATTGTAGACTATATTCAGATGTCATGATTTCAAATTTTTTTCTGGGCAATTTACACAACTGGAATTTTGCAACTTCAAATTGCGAAATGAAGCACGATTGATGAGGTGCAATCAACCTTCACTTTAATTTGTTCCGACCTGTTTTTTTAAGTCCAGATATAAGCAAATTAAAAAATTAGCTTGGGAAATCGAAAAATTGTTAGTCCGAAACTGTAAAACGGCGTACACGCCTACAGTGTTTTCACAGCAGCCATGGTTATCCAGAATTTCCCCTATAAGATCATTACTAAGAAATTCAAATACTGCTGGACATTAATATGAGCATCTCGTGTTAGTGATATTGCTGGGATCTCCCACATTTCGGGAGCAGCTATACTTGTCTCATAGATCCTGAGCTGTATACTTTTAGTTAGTATCCATCGTCTGTTCCATTTATGTGCATCATTTCATCGGAGGCCACCCGAGTGGTTGTTTCTTTCGTCGACTGGTACCATTCATTAGTGAGCAGAATTTACCAGTTGCTGGCAAAGCAAGCAACATCCCCTGACTATTGGATTTTACTTTGTAGCGTGATAACAATGACGTCTTGCACGTTGCTGGTTCAACGGAGAGTCTGACTGTGTACATGGTCGTGCAGAGATAAACACCCTTTGCTTCACTGTTCTCTCCGTCACAGCTAGCCCTCGATTTCGGTTTTCTTGAATGACCATCCGTGCGTCATTGTTTTCAACATAGAGTGTTGAAAAGGCGGACACGTTCCTTCCGCTTCGACAGTTTGGTTCCGCAGAAAACGACTAAAGACGAAATGAGTAAAGTGTTCTTTTACGATGATGTAAGATATTTTCCATTTACTAACCAATTTCTGTTTCTTTTCCATGAAACGGGCAACAAATATTTCATATTTTCAATTAAATTCTAACTGTTTCATGCCAGTAACTGTGTTTTTTATTACTAAAAACTCTAAAATACCAAAACCAAGACTGTTCCGGACGTCAGTGTGAATATTCCGTGTTGCCACACGCTCTGATTTGGTACACTTCCAGGCAGTATCCGCCACTTATTCGGCAGATAAAAACTTCAAATAAGGGATAAAAAAAAGTTAATGCCAATGAAAATTCAACCAGAAAAACTGGCAAAATTCCACTGAAGCATAAAAATTTTTCAGAACTGTTTCTTTTTCCCCAAAATAATACTAAGTGGCGCATTCAGAGGCTCCGAACACTAAACATCACACTCTAAACATGTTGGCATTTTGGTGGCCTTTTATGTTTCCTCCACTTATTCTCTTTACAGAAACAGTAAGAGTGTAGCAATTTTTATTCCAAATTCTACTATTTTTCCTGTTAACAAAAGATTTTCAGCAAGGGACTTCATGTGGAAGTGTCAATCAAATTGTCCCGTGGAACCACAAAGAATGGCTTACTACTGCAGTAATTTGACGCATCAGTAGGATAGGCGTAGGGCAAAATCAATTCGGGATGTATATAGATGAGCGACATCCTTGCAAAACTGCAATTTTCTAGCTTGTCTGGTTCCCGAAATCATTTTTCTCTCAATATAAGCACAGAAGTGCAAGAGAATTTTGCTTGATGTTTTGTTCGAAAGGGGTGTTTTTTGCACTGAGCTATTCTGCTGACATATCATTTTTAATGTTGACAAATTTTGTTAATTAATTAAAGCAGTGCTGACAAATTATTTTTAATCAATTAAACTAATACACTGATATGGACAATCTTTTAATATTGGTGGGCACAGTGAAGTTAAGTTCATGTGGCAATAACGAAAGCGAAAGAGCTGAAATTTCATCAACATGCGTCCTTTACCTTCAAATCGCTCATTATATTGACTTATTTGCCTGCATTTGAACGAGAATTTCATCAAATTCAAAATTTTAAAATAAACAGATTCTCGAATTCGAAATTTGAAAAGCTGTATTTGACAAAAATACAGCATGAAAAGCTCAGAATCAGCTCTCAAAGTCAATTTCCCTAATATGTGCATCTCGAGATGGGACTGAGTCCAAAACACGTGAAATTTATGATCGCTGACGGGCAAGATTTTTATTGCTGGCCCTCAATGTTTTGGTCGTTGGTAGCGAACTTGGCAGTTAACCAGAGCAGGAAGTGGTGAAATCAATCCGCTATTTCTAACTTCAAAATTCCGGATCCTAGCTCACCGCATAAGACAATCAGAATCATCAACTTTAACTCTGCATAATAAGCCATAAATCATATCATGATTGGCACTTTTACGAAAAAGATGGTGATTTTGACAATCATGTGAATAATAGGTCTAAAGATAGAAGCATGCATGCACTGAGTGTTAAAAAGCGAAATCTCGCCTTTTTTGAGCTACTATCCGGTCCTCGAACAAATTAACGGAAAGATAATGTGAAATCATCAGAAGCATGATACGTTCTTTCTCTGCCTCGATGGAAACACCAAAAAAGTCAAAAGCCAAAATCTTCTCCGTATTTGGCCACTGTGAGATGCAGAGACACTTGAGAACTAGGCCGAATGGTTGTGGAAACCAACAGTAGCCACCTACTGACAAGCCTGTCGATGGTTCCTTTTTCGATGATTGCTTACAAGAAGCCGTTGGCAAGTTTAACTCTCTGGCATATGCTAGAACCATCTATTATCGGAACGAATGAATGGATCGTAGAGAGATTGGTTTTCCAAACAGTACACTTCAGTCCCACTGCGTCACTACGTTACGTCAGTAAAAAAAGTTTTAAAAAATACGCTAAAAATATCAGGTAAAAATTATAGAAGAATTAAATTAATAAAACATTTTTTGAATAGCAGTAAAACAGCAATAAAAAGTACTGAATAAGAACTGGTACCATTTTTATTATCGTGCTGCCTGGAGCACAGGTTGCATAACTTTGTGCCGCTCCCGAAAATGTGCTTTTATACGAGATTGCTTGTTGTGTGTGTATGTGTATGTGTGTTTGTGCCAGTTCGCTCAAGCGCAGCAGGTTTTTCAGGATGAAGCAGCAGTATTCAGGAGTTTTGTTGGAAGAGAAGGAGGAACAGGAAGGAGGGATGGGAGCGGTAAACCTGGAAAAGAGAGTCAAAGAACAAAGCATTGGAGGAGTGCAGTAGCAGTAGTAATAGTAGTAGCAGCAGTAGTAAAAAAGTGATTATTTTCTGGAACTTTCACAGAAATTACTGGAACAAGTTCACGGTCGAAAGTGTGTGCAGTGTGTGAGTCAAGAACTCGTAGCTTTTTGATAACAGTGCACCCCCGGTTTTCACTTTTAATTGTATACCTCGAATTTTGTCATCATCGTCACTGTCACGAGTGCTGTTTTCATTGCCCTCATCAGCGCAATTTGCAACGGAATTTGTCACCACTTTGAAAAAAAATTGTTTTCTTATTGAATTCGGGAAAAATCAGTCGATTCTCGGAGAGAGTTCCTGGAGTGCGTTGTTTGCACGTTGTAACAAAATACTATAAAATTTTGTTCACCGAAAAAATAACTCGTTTTTTTCAGTTTATTTTTTTAATGCTAATTTAGCGGAACGTTATAAATACAAGGTCTTTGAAGTATGACCATTTACAATAATATTGGCTGATGGTTAGTGCTTCAGTTTTTAACTTCAGATTTTATAATCCGCATTTTGCGCAGTCAGATAGGCCATCAGATAAGCGGTGTGCAGGATATTATTGCGATCACGCAAGAAAGTAAAATTGGGTGAGTAGGAAATGTTGATAGCCTTAACGACAACTGGTAGACGTCGAGCCTCAGCAAACCAAATGGCACATTTTGGTAGTCTAAGCGTTCTCGATTTTAGGGGTTTGAATTTTTCAAGCGATTGGTAGGAGACTAGAAACTGCATGATTTTAATCCGCGAAGATCGTTGGGGCATTCACTTGGAATTACCATGTTATTTGGTAGATTAGTCATGTACAGCACTATACATGCTGCTTACACAAAAAAGACGTTCTTTTCAGCACATGTCTTATGGGTTGTGAATGAAGCTCTTCAAGACATAAGTGGGAATTAGGAGGGAAATGGAAATCGAACTACCCCTTTTCAACACTGTGATCTCTCGATGCGCTCTGGA